GGCGCTACTGCGGCTGGCACACGCCTGTGGCCACCCCGGGTGCTACAGCCTGGCGGGACCGCCGCCGCCGCCGCCACCATCGGCTGCGGCTGCAGCGCCAGCAGCTATGCGCCTGGAGGGGGTGCCCTTGGCCGGACGACAACTCACACGTCTGTACGACATGGCTCGCGCTGCGGACGCCGTTGACGTGGGCGCGCTGGCGGGCGTGCCCGCTACCGCTGCGGCGGCGTTGCTGCTGCTGCTGGCGACGGCGCAGCCGCCGCCACACCCCGCCGTCGCGACGACAGCAGGTACTGCAGCAGCGGCGACGGCGGCCGCCGACCGGCCGCCACGGGTTGACGCTGCCGTCGCCTCCTGCAGTACACCTGCCGTACCCGCTGCTCTACTAGCCCGCTACCTGCGCGTAGGATCTCGCTCACACAATCCTTTGGACACCGTGCGTGTTATGTGGGCCTTATTGCGGCTACAGCTGCCCGGCGCCGGGCCACTGCTACAGCCCCTGGAGCTCGACGGACGAGGCAGCAGCAGCAGCAGCAGTGACGCTGGTATCGCCGCAGCAGCTACCTGGCCGCCGCCGCCGCCGCCGCCGGCCTCCAGTCCCCCGGATCCCATGACCCAGTTGGCGCGCATCCTGTCGCGCCAACTGCAGAACCGCGACAGGTCGCTCGCCGCGTTGCGCGCTGCACGGCCGGGGGAGCTGTACGGCACATGGCAGCTTGCCGTACACACATTGGTACTGCTGCGTGATCGTGCGCTGGCGAACGAGCGGTCGGCGGCGGCGCTGGCGGAGCTCGACTCGGCATTGGCCCTTCTGGAAGCGGCCCTCTCGGGATCATCATTATCATCATCATCAACATCAAGAACACCTGGATCCGGATTGGATCGATCTGGGTCGGTCGGATCTGGATCTCAGGCGTCAGCGGACTGCTCCAGCGCTTTACCTTTGTGGCCGTCGGCGACGCCGCCGCCGCCGCCGCCGCGGCAGCAGCAGCAGCGGCAAAGTCGCGGGCAGCAACGTCAGGGCAGTTGCGGCGATGCGGCCGCCGGGGGGTTCCCGTCAACGGCTGACTCGGCGGCGGCGGCGGCGGCCGCCGCACCCGGGAGCGCCGCCGTGGAAGCACTGCAGGTGCGCCTCGCGGCCGCGGGGGAATGAAGCCCCCCAGTAAAAGCGCTCCGTGTAATCAAGTCGTAGATTCTTGATTGTTGTGTGTCTGATAAAAGCTGCCTGTATGCGCATGTGTACGGTTATCGTACAGGATATCGTACGTCACACGTGGTGGTGCCGCCCAGCGTAGGCCGGCCTCGTGCACGTGCCCTGTGGCGTAGCGATAAAACCTGTGTGTGCGTATGTATGTGTGTGCGTGTCTCGGGTGTTTAAGGTTCGGGGGTGGCTCTAAACCCTTTCCGCTTCCGCTTTCTCGTCTTTTATTTTTGTGCTTGCCGTACAAATTGCCAACTCCATCTGTTGTACGGCAGGAATTCTTGGAATTGTCCAGGGAGGTCTCCTCGTCCTCCCGACCGGCGGAAGTGGCCGCCGCCGCCGCCGGCCGTGGCGGTGTTGGTGCCGCCGCCGCCGCCGCCGCCGCCGCCGCCATCAGTCCCAGCGCTGGCAGCGGTGGCGGCAACGGCGTCCATGGCCTTGGCTCCAGTCCTGGCTCGGGTTCGATTCCCGGCTGGGACTTGGTTCCTTCAAGTGATTCTGAATGGCGGACTGTGTTGGGGGATCCGGAGCAGGTACGTTGTGCTTCGAATGGGGAGGGGGTTGAGGGGAGGGGGTTGAGGGGAGGGTGTATGGGGTGTGTGTGGGGGCGCTATCGTTTTAAGGTTGTGTGTTGTGGTGGCGTTTGGTTCTGTGACCTTGGTTACTTTTTGCGACGCAGCTAGCAGCTAGCTGCTAGCGGGGGAATCCGTGCTGTTGTTATTGTTGTTGTTGTTGTTGTCGTGTTGTCACATCTCAGGGGTGGTCCAGGTCCGGTGGGATCTTGTAAGGCATGTCTCGTCCTGCCCATGCTCGTCACCATTACAGCTCGTACCATTACTGGTACTGCACACACAGCTACCCCGCGTTCCCCCCCGCCGCCGCTATGCATGCGGGTGCACTGATGGCCCGCAACACACCGGGGGAACCCTGCCCCCGGGGCCACATGTCATCAGTGTGTATTACTCCCCCCGTGGTGAGGCGTGGGGTAGTGTGTGAGATTTCAGGAAGAAACTTAAGTCGAAACAGAAACACGTACATACATACGTACATACATACATACATATATATACATACATACGGACTCTGATATGTACCCTATCATGCGGATGAGGTCCCTCGGCTTTCTGTCGTGTACATCTGCCGTACAGCGTACGGCACTTCTGCTTAGCACTTGGCCCGAGCTGGGACGTCTTGTGGAGCTGCCGCCGCCGCCGCCGCCGCCCCCACTGAAACCCCGTGAGGTGCCGTCGCCGTCACAGCAGCAGCAGCAGCTGGCGGCAGTAGCGGCCTTTCGCGACCCGCCAGACGGGGAGTGGAAGGTGGTGACGGACGGGGGCACGAGGAAGGCCGTACAGGGGGCAGCTGGCGGCGCGGCTGGGGAAGCGAAAGGAGGTCTCCAGGAGGGCGGCGGGACTGTCGTACAGCGGAGACGCCTCCGGATCCATCTGAAGGTACGAATGTGTATATGTACGAGCATACGGATGTTATGTAAATGAATTGGTTAGTTTGGTGAGAGGGTGGGTCTAGCACGGGGTGCTGTAGTACTTCGCAGCGATTATTGATTCATCCGAGTTGGCCGTACGGCAGTTGGAGTGTACGACCCTTTCTGGGTTAAAAATCATTTGACGTGTCCCCTTCTGGATAGCTGCGGGATATGGCCGTACAATAACCTCTCCTTTACCGTGGTCGTTGGCCCTATTTCATACACGTGGTGCGTGTCGTACAGTCGTATTCGACGCTGCATTTCCGTACTTTGGAGTTGTTGTACCGATCTATCAAGGCCCAGGCGCCAGATGCGACGCTGCTGGCGGCACTGTCCGTGCCGGAGGCGGCTGCGGCGGCAACGGAGACGGCGGCGGCCGCCAGCAGCAATACGGACGCTGCCGTACAGGTTGGCGTCGTCGCCGGCGCTCGCGCAGGAGCGATGGCATTGGAGCGGCCGCAGCAAATGCTGCTGAACGCCGTAGCGCTGCCGTACAGTGCTGCGGTGGACATGGTGAGTGTACGACATACAGCTTGCTGCACACAATTTCTCTCTCCCTGCCTCAGGTCGTGCAGTACAGTGCACAACTTAGGCAGCAGCAGCTTCTTTGTTGTTATCCGTACTACACACATACACTTTCATACATATTTTGAAATGCGATATAACCTCTTACACAAAAGAACAGTTTTTCAATAATCACTAGCACTTACTGAGCCAGAGCTTTTCATAAGAGGACAAATTATGTGTGTGTATGTGTGTGGGGATTGACTTTTGTGTGTGCGCACAGGTCTTCACCGACGCCCGCGGTCGCCGGGTGGGGCTCAGCCTCGCACATCTGGGTGCCAGCCGTCGGGCGCCAGGCGAGATTGCCGTACTGCAGTACGCTCTGACGGGGTGGCCAGAGGCTGACGTGACGGCAGCGCAGCAGGGCTTTCGAGCCGCGCGCTCCGCGGCGCGTGCTGCCGCCGCCGCGGCGGCGGCGGCGGAGGCATCACGCGCCCAGATGCGCGCAGCCGGTGCAGCGCCCACGGCCGCGGCTGCTGCCGCGGCGACGGCGGCGGCCGTTGCAATGGTGGACGCGGCCGCCGCCGCCGCCGCCGCGGCGGCGGAGGCTGCGAACCAGAGCTGCGCTGAAGGCAGGGATGCCGTCGGAAGGATGCGACTCGACGGCGCGACGGCGGCGGCGGCACAGGGCTGCGCAGCGGCCGCCGGTAAGGTACGGCAAGCCTCCACCGTTGCCGCTGCTGCTGCTAACGTCGGAAGCAGCGACCAGGAGGACCTGCCGTACAACCAACGTTACAACCACCATAACGATGCTGTTGATCATCATCATGGAGGTTTTGGAAAGATAAGGCCCTTCTACAGTAATGAGAGCGATAAAAATGAGTGCAATGAGGAGGATTGCTTGAGTCCGGAGGAACGTGTGGCGGCGGAGGCCGCAGCGGCGGCGCTTGAAGCTGACGCCGCCGCCGTCGCGGCGGCGCCGGATGTCGTGGCAGCGGCCGCCGCCGAAGCCGCGGCCGCCGCGGCAGCGGCTGCCGTTTGTGCAGGCAGCAGGGGCTCTGGCATCAGCCCGGTGGCGGCGGCAGCAGCGGTGGCGGCGGCACCGCCGCCGCTCCGAAACCGAGACCTATTGTTGCAGCTGGACGATCTGGTGGTTCTGGAGCTAGACCACGACTGGTTCCACCTGCGGGAGAGTTATTACAACCACGTACAGCAACATGGCAAATGGGATCTGAATGTACGACAGGCAATCAGCACGGCGATGTCGTACACGGAATTACCTTGGGAGGCCCAGCTGGATATGGTGTGGCACGTGCTGGCGACAGCCGGCGTGGAGCTGCCCATTCGCATTTTCGCCTGATATCCAAAACAGGATTTTTTTTAATTTTCCTGCTTTAATGGACGTTTTGTCGATGGCTTATTTAGGCTCCGGTCGCAGGACGCCGCTGGCCAGTTCTCTGTGTGGGCACATTAGGTCGGCAGGCGGGCAGGCAGGCAGGAACATGCGGAGGGGAGGCAGAGGGGAAAGACAGAGGGAAAAGGCGTACATCGGTATGTATGTCAGCACAGAGGGGGACAGAGGCGGACAGAGGCCGGCGGGTCGGAGAGCGAGGGGGGAGTGGATTGTGCGATCCGGGCGAAAGGACCCCCGGGGCCTGATGGATTGGGATCTTTCGGGAGGGCACGGGCCCCGGGGGGGGGGATATGCCCCGCTGGGGGTCCGTGCTGAGTGAGGGTGGAGTTGCCGGGGATGGCTCCCACCTCTCGAAGGTTCGGTGGGGGGCAGTGTGGGGCGGCGGCGGTGTGGGCTACCGCCCTCCTGAAGATTTCTCCACTGACTTTTGGTGAGATGGCAGTGTCCAAAAAGATTTTCCACAGCTAACTGTTAAGGGCACAGGAGTCACACACATCTTTGCGAAACGTGTTTTTGTGTGGAAATTTCCAACCGCGTCTCTGTGTTTGTTTTTTCTGTCGTGCGTATGTATGTTTGTATTCATGTAAGGGTATGTATTGTATAAGTAAATTATATTATATGTTCGTGTGGGTGCTTGGCTTGTTGGCTGGCGTATGCGTACGTTTGTATGTATGTATGTACGGATGCAGTTATGCGCCGCTGTTTAGATCTCCCATGGTGCTTTTGTTATCGTCGCTCTTTACCGCCCCTTTACCTCGCTATTGCAGTTGCAGTTGGCCCGAAGGTGTCCGTCAACCGAGAGCACGCCCATGCGTTCTTGTTTTTTTTGTGTAACTGTAATAAAACGACGTGTCAAATGTCTTCCTACATGAACTTTACATCATCATACTTTTTGCTTAGGAATGTCCTGCTTCCGTACTACCCTCCGTACGATATCTTGTCTGTCCCACATTATCTCTTTTTCTGTGCGGTCAGGTCATGTTGATTTAGGCTTTGGAGTCGTCTGACTTCAATTAACTAATTGAAAAATGTGGTCGCGGATTATTTCTTTTATTGTGCGATAAATCACAGCTGGCGGTGGTGGGTCGTAACGGGCGAGCAAGAGCAATGCGTTTCCGGAGGGCGGCACCCCAAACCCCAAACTCAGGCAGGCAGGCTCTATCTTGCTTTTTGTAGTGTGTGTGCTTTGATGCCTGGGGATTGCATTTGACTACACACACACATTTATGCAAAAACATCCTGAGACGTTGCCCCAAAGCTTGCGGGCTCTCTTATTGCCTTCGGGTCTATGTCTTTTTGTCTTCTTGCTTTCACTTGCCGCCACGACGAGGAGGAGGCTGCGGCGGCGGCGGCGGCACGCGGCCGGGATAAAGGCATAGAGCAATAGAGGCATAGACGCGCGCGCGCGCGCGCGCGCGCGAGAGAGAGAGAGAGAGAGAGAGGGAAGAAAGAGAGGAAGAGAGAAAGAGCGATGGGCCACTCCAGGGAGGAAGAGTGGAAATGGGCTGTTGAGGGGCCGAGAGCCATTGGCAGCTCGCTACTAACTGACACCCACCCTTTGTTCAAGCACTAGTACTGCCAAGGCGTGCGACGGGTGGGTGCGTGAGGGACGAAGGCGGGACGAGCAAAAAGACGAATGATATCCAAGGGCCTTGTACGAGCTTACGTATGCAGCTGCGTTGATACGTACGTACATACATACACTACACGTAGCACACTGCTCTGGGATTTCGCCCGCGGTGGCACCGACTGCTGCGGCATCCCGTGTCGAAACAAGCCAAACGAGTGACGAGAGCGCTCAGGTCGACTTTCTCACGAGGGAGGGGGAGGGGGAGGGAGGGAAGGAGAGGTGCGCGTGCACCGCTTATCAAAACCCAAACGTTTCCGTTTTCGTTTTCCTTCCTTCCCCCCTCACCCCCCTTCTCTCCCTCCCCAACAACACAC